GCGATTAGAAAATTTAGCTTAATTTTATATTTAAATTATTTTCTGTAACTTTTGGAAGTTCTGTTGTTTAGTTCAGAAAGAAGATATTTTAATATTGAATCTACCTCATTTTGATTTTTTTGGATAGATCATGTATGTATATTATTTTTGCTATCGCCAGCGCCATTTTCTTAGGCTTGTTAAATGAAAACTGGAGAAAATGTGCTGCAAAGTTGTGCCCAAGCATTTGAACCTGCGCCAGCTTCTAAAATATGCCGCATTGGCCACTGAAATTTTGAACACATATTCTTTAGTAGTTTTATTATAGATTTAAGAACAAAATGCATTTCTTGAAGCTTCTAAAGCTGGCTACATTTTCAACAACGCATTCAATAATTTAATGAAGTTTTCGAGTGTGTTTCTGAGGAGATTTTGTTATTTTTTTCAACAACTCAATATTCTTAGCAATGACTAGTGTCCATTTTATACGATTTAATTGTGTGGCATTTTTGACATTATTTATTTTATACTGTTTTAATTGTTTTTATTTTTTTGTTTTGTCTCAGTTTTTTATTTCACTTTACTTGTTTTATTTTACTTTACATTAAATTATTTTTCATTTGTTTAATTTTACTAAATTTTATTTTAATTTCTAATTTCTAATTTATATATTATTATATTATATTGATTCGTTTATACAATTTCATTGATTTTTTTTAATTTTAATTTCTCTTCCAATTTATTTTATTTTGTTTTATTGTGTTCGATTTTATATAACTTTATTTGATTTAATTCGTTTCTGTTGTTTTTTATTTCGTTCATTAGTTATTTTCAATATGAATCTATTAAATTTAGTACATTTTATTTCATTTCATTCCATTTTGTTTCAATTCCTTTCTTTTATTGTATATATATTATATATAGTAACTTTGTTTTATTTCATTTTAGTTTCTTTTAATTTGTTTTATTTTATCTTATTTTATTTTTTTTTTGTAATTTTTATATTATAGTTTATTTTATTAAATTTCTTTTCTCTTTTGTGTATTTTATTTTACGGTCTTTTGTTTCTTTTTATTAAATATTATTGTGTTTGCTTTTTTATTTAATTCATTTCGTTTCGCTGTTTATGTTTTTATTTTAATTAATTATTTATTTTATTTTATGTTATTTTATTTCATATTATTTTATTATATTTTATCTTATTCAATCTTTTATTGAATTTATCAGGTGTACAACTTTGGTTCCGCCGTTTTTTCCAGAAATAAAAGCTTTATTGCGAAAAAGTGCTTACAGATATATTATTCAAAGTATTGTACTTCGCTAGCGACAAAATTCTCCCATCTTTCCGGCAATTCTCGGATCCCAGCTCGGAAAAAGGAGTCCTCTTTTGACGCTAACCATGAAGCAATCCACTTTTCCAATTCTTCGAAGGATTGAAAATGTTGATCTGCCAGGCCGTGTGCCATCGAACGAAATAGGTGTAAGTCAGAAGAAGTGACATCTGGGGAGTATGGCGGGTGGGGCAAGATTTCCCATTTCAGCGTTTCCAGGTACTTTTTGACCACTTTTGCGACGCGAAGCCGAGCATTGTCGTGTTGGAGGATGACTTTGTCATGTCGCTCTTGATATTGTGGTCGCTATTCTTTTAGCGCGCGCCTAAGGCGCATCAGTTGCGTTCGGTAGCGATCTCCTGTGATGGTTTCACCCGGTTTTAAGAGCTCGTAGTAAATCTTTGAATGTTTTTTCTCTTCCACCACCATGTCTGTCTTCGACATCGAAATCACCATTTTCAAAACGTTGAAACCACTCCCGACACGTTGTTTCACTCAGAGCAGCATCACCGTAAGTTTCTGAGAGCATTCGATGCGCTTCAGCTGCATTTTCTTCTTCAAATTGCAACAGAAAAGTAAAACTTCCCGCAAATGGCGAGAATTAGTCACATAAACGGACATTTTCGAGCGTGAATAATAAGAAAACAAGAACAACTGTCACTGAAACGGTGATGACAATTAGTTAGGCACTGTCCACAATAACTTTAACGAATTTATCATCTATGTATTTCAACCAGCCTCAGCCGGTACAGCCACCTATCGGAAAACGGCGGTAGCAAAGTTGTACACCTGATAGTTTTATTTTGGTAACTTTTTATATCATAGTTAGTTTATTTTCATTCATTTGATTTTTTTTATTTTATTGTTTTTTATTTTCTTAATTAATTTATTTATATTTTGTTTTCTGTTTTTTTTCTTTTATTACATTTTAATCTATTTATTTTATTTTTTTATGTATTTTTCATATTATATATGTTTTTTTTTTGTTTTTAATTTTATTTTATTAATTTTTTTATAATTATTATAATTTTTTTTAGCTTTTTTTTTTTATTTTGCGATCTTTTGTTTCTCTTTATTTAATTTTATTGTTTTTTTTAATATTAATTTATTTTGTTGCGCTGTTTACGCTTTTATTTAAGTTATTTATTTATTTTATTTTATTTGCGTAATTTTTTATATTATAGTTAATATTGTTTAATTTTATTTAACTTTTCCTTGTTTTAGTTTATTTACATTTATTTTAGTAATATTATTTTACTAAATTTTATTTAAGTTTTTTATTCTTTTTTATTGCTTTGGTTTTTTTTTAATCCATTTTATTTTATCCTAGTCTATCTTCAATTATATTTTAGTTAATTTGGTTGATTTGTTTATTAAATTTTTTAATTTGATTTTCAATTTAAGTTCTTTTTATTTTCGTTTTTATTTAGCTTTGTTTATTTTATTTAATATTGCTTATTTTTTTATTATATTCTATTCTATTTGATTTTATTTAATACCATTGATTTCACTTTTTTAACTAAGTTTCTTTATTTTTATTTTTGTTATTATTTAATTTCATTTCTTCTTTTTGTTTTTAATTTTTTTTTATTACATTTTTTAAATTAAATTTTTTACTTAATTTAATTTTTTTTAATAATTAATTATTTAATAATTTTTGATGTTTTTCTTTTGGTAATTTTTTTAAAATATAGCTAATATTATATAATTTTTTTTTTTCACTTTATATTATTTTAATTAATTTCATTTTTATTTAAACTTTTTTATTATTTATTTTTTTTTTTAATTTATTTGGTGTTTCTTGAATTCCATATTTTTTCATTTCATTTCATATGATTTTACTATTTTAGTCTTAAATATACTTCGATATTATTTTAATTATTTTACTTAATTTTATTTAATTCTATTTTATTTTCTCTTTTTTATTTATATAGTTTAATTTTAATTTCTTTTATTTTACATTATTTGATATTACTTCTTTTTATTTTGTATTATTTGATTTGGTTTTATATTATTTTACATTATTTTGATTTGCTAAATTTTAAACTTATTTATTTATCTATTTTGTTTTTAATTTTTGGGTACACCTGAGTTTTTTATACTTATATTCTTGCTCCTTTAATTTTAGGTGGCTCACTTTTTGAGTCTGTCTTGTATGTTTCCTTTTTTGGGTTTTTATTGGTTTTTGCGCGCTACGCCCATTTATGACTAAACAATACTTAATTACAGATTCAACTTAAATGCTTTTAAGGAAACACCAAACTCATACTCATATTGACATATTAACATTTTGTACAGCAAAAAGGCAAGTCGGCTGAAAGTCAAGAACTTGTTTTCATTCAAAATATATCAGTTTCAAAGTTCAGTTGTCTTAATTCGCTCCTGAATGAGGAAGTAACTAAGTGACATGAAAAATGTAAAATCACTAAATGCAATAATATAGCCCCATAAGGGCATGTACTCTTACATATATGTATGTATGAACTTAAGCACACGTGCTTTTACAAGTTTGCAAGATACAGCTGTTGCTCCTTAAAGTGCGACTGATGAGTTTTTAACCGTCTTATGTAGGAGAGGGTATTAGGGTATTTTATTATTTATGTCTATATTGTGGTCAGTGCTGGGCTGGCCAAAGCCCAAACCTAAAAAACTTAAAAATAAAAAGTAAATTCTTCTTATTACGGACACTTTTCGTGTAGAAAATGTCAACCCTTCCGAATGTATTTCTGGCATAAAATAAATAGTTCCTAATAAAAATCGATATATGTAAGTGCCCGATGGAGAAGAGATAAACCCATCAAAATGTAGACCGTTCGGAATGACAAGTTGAGTCTACTTAGCCATACCCATCTGTCCGTCTGTCGGTGGATTTGTATGCAATGGAGTCCTGCAGTACACGTATTTGGACCTATCATTTATCGGAAGCAGGCAGATGTGACCGTTTAATCTTATATACATGTATGAAATTTCGGGTCATAAATCCGTCTCAAGATCATTTTCGTGCGTGGTATTTCATACTCTACACATACATAATTACATATATATATAGTGAAATATACGGTGGAAATCGTCGAAATCTGAAGACTTTATTATATAGCACCCATGCAACCAGTTTTTCAGATAAAAGAATTCATGTTTAGTTCTAAAGTGAAATACCATAAGTTTGATGTGCTCCTCAAAGATATAAAGACTTAAGTATGGCCGAGGGCAGGCAGCTCTTATATATTTTCTCTTTTTATTGTTTTTTCATTAATATGCTTAAAATCTTTTATTTTTTTTATTTTATTTAATTTTATAATAATTTTTTAAATTTATTTAGTATAATTTATTTTATTTTATTAGATAGTTTTTCAAGTGATCATAATTCGATGACGGCGACTGTATACACAACGGTATGCCTCACCGATATTGACATGAGCGCTTTTTTACAAGAAAAAATAAAACAAAAACAACAAAGAAATGGCATTGACGTTGTACGACATGTTGACATACTGGAACACACCTACTTGTGTACATACTCTAGTACATATGTACATACATATGTAAGTAAACAAATTAAATTACGTATATGTACAAGCAAACTCGAAAGAATTTTTACCTGTACAAAGTTACATATTTATTTCGATATACGTACATACTCGTATATATTTATGCCACGCGATTCTCAAAATGCTGCGAGCCAATCTTCAAACACTTCAGACGAACGAAATCAGTTGAGGAAGTTCCGTGGAGGCGCAGCCACAGGCCAAACGCATTTCCTTCGCATTTCCTGGCTGATTTGCTGAAAGTAACCGTAAATTAACTAAACCAACACACGTATACATATACGAGTACACCCAGCACACAGAGGGCGCAACGTTATTGGGTGAGCCTCAGCGTGTGGCAATGTCCAACTCGGTGGCTTGCATCTGCAACATCGTGCATCCGTGTCGTAATGAGGTTGCCGGCACTTTTGTACTGCTACAGTGGATTATAACGGGTCTAGCGGCTATTGTGAAGGTTATACGCCCAGTTTGGTTGTTATGTAAGTACAGCTGAGTGAGTGTGTGTGTGCGTGTATGTGTGCATAATTTTGCAATAAACAGTTAATTAATTAAGCCATTCTATTGTACTCACTCACTCCTCTTCCCAACCGCAAGTTGGCGTGCGCACGCATGTACCGTTAAGAGATGAAGATTATAATAGCACTTGGCTGTACATGGCGAACGGCGATGGTGAGACCGAATTGGCTTATCTACTGGAACCACCACCTGAAGTCGAGCGTAATATGCCGATGTTTGTGCAGTTCGAGTACTACAACAGGTGAGAGTTATGCGTAAACGACCTTTTGTAGATATGTATGTAGAAATTAGTTTTTCCCGCACAACCCGCAGCCCACATGCACTCAGCCCCTACATCAGCAATATCTCCATTGAACCCTCCGACGAGACACCATTTCAGCGTCACGAAACGCACGAGGAGTGGGAGCAGCTGCTGGTGGAGTTCAAACCTGAATTGGATACGAAAATGCTAGTGCACGGTTGGAAGTCGAGCACACAGAGTCGTTCAATACAGTCGATACGCGAGGCCTACGCACGACGCGGTAATATGAATGTGTTTGCTATCAACTGGCGCGATCAGGCGGAGAGCATTTATTATTTGAAACCGGCGCGCTACGCCATACACGTCGGACGCGCCATATCACGTCTGATTGATTTGCTGGTGGAGGAGTATTATGCGCGGCCGGAGCGCATACATTTGATTGGTCATAGTTTGGGTGCGCACATTATGGGTTATGCGGGTTCTTATGCACGTTACAGAGTTGGGCGTATTACGGGTGCGTAACTCTCCTTTTGTGTTTCATCTAACAAAAGATATACTTTAAACTTGCTCGATGTAGGTCTAGATCCTGCTCGTCCTGCTTTTGAAAACTGCATTGGTCCGGAGAATCATTTGGATGCAACCGACGCGGAGTTCGTTGATATCATTCATAGTTGTGCTGGTATTTTGGGCTTTAAGAAACCTATTGGCTCTGTTGATTTCTATCCGAATGGCGGGCGTGCTCCACAACCCGGTTGCAGTGAGCTGGCAAAGATTTTCAGTAAGTACATGTGTAGTTTGAGAGACTTTGGTGCTATAGAATCTAGAAAGTTGTAAAGAAAGAGAGCCAGTCGTTTGTGCTGAAACACCGGATCGGGTGAAAAGTCTCTCTTGAGAAATGTTTTTAGGTGTTCAACAACGTCTGGCTTCCAAGGCCAAGAATAACATACACCGAGTTATAATCTCTGTCTCTTTCTCTCCTACTTCATAGCGCTCAGCATGTGGCTTTAGTAAAATATCTGTTCTGTTAAAATTGTTCTCTCTTTTTTTATTCTTTTAAAGCCGGCTGCAGTCATGGTCGTTCCTATGAATATTTCGCCGAATCCATTAACTCCGAGTTGGGCTTCTACGCCAACGGCTGTGATACGCTTGCTGATGTCGCAGCTAAGAATTGTAGCGGCGAACGTATACTTATGGGTGATCCAGTACCGTTCTATGCGCGTGGGGTATACTTTCTGAAGACAGCGGATAAGCCGAGTTTTGCTTTGGGCGCAAAAGTGTAATGGACAGGAGAATATATGAGTGTGTTGATATGGACCAGATTAGTCTGGAAAGGCTTTCAAGAATAAATAAAATATTTAAAGCATAATGATTTTTTAATTCGCAGAGATCTGTGGTGATTGTTGTCTTCATTTCTTCTATTGGCCTTTGGGCGATAATAGAAGACCAAGTAAAAAATTTTCTAAAATTTTCTTCTAGTCAGGAGGTCTATCGCTTGATCTGCTTCTTATGACCGGTACTACAGTGAATACTTTTAAAGCTAGAGAATTGTGATGGCATGACATAGTCAATGCTGGATCAAAATTCTCTGAAGTAGAGAAACGTCAGGTTCTACTCATCTCAATCATCTTTTTGAGTAGTTTGTATTAGACATCTCGACTTCTCTATTTTGTTCTAACAGCAAATTCTTGCAACTTCATTTTCGATTCCAAAATACGATTCGCCGTAGAAGTAGAATGCTAAACTCTAGCCGGCAGCAGCTGGGGAAAGGACAACCTACAGGACTTTCGGTGGGTCCTTCGTACATTAAACCGCACCGATTTGGATCCCTGGGACGAATGAGTCGCAGATGAGGAAACAATAAGCCTCTCCGAATATCACCTTGACCTCTATAACAAACCTCCAGATGGCGTCTTTATACTATTTATATAGCGAGACATCTGGTATAAACAGAATCGCTCCAGACCATTGAAAGAAAGTGGTTGACACCTTTATTAAATCTCTTGCTGTGAATGGCGTCATCGAGATGCAGCCACCATATCCATCAGACGAAGATCTACATTACACAAACCACTGCTCTACACTTCTACAAACTGCTTATCTGACTCCCCTTTCTTTCAGGTTGTACAAAACGGAGTCGGTGTTTTGGATGCTGGGGGTTATGTCAGACGCAGATGAAGAAGCTATAAGAAGCCGGTACGACAACATCAACAACCAGTAAGTGTTTCCAAACAGCGACATTTCTCATCTTAACAGGATACCATTCGATCTCGGCGATCTCGGTGGGTAGAGAGATTTTTCCGGATACAGTTGTAACGATTTATGAATATTCTTAAAGCCTACCAAAAACCATATTTCGCACCTTATGAAAACAATCAACTGTAGGCCAACTGGGTGGTTTCGAGATGGAGATTAAACTTTCTGACTGTTATGTTAATGAGGCCCTCTTTGCTTACCTTAACAGCGGTGGTGGTGAGATCCCAGCGTTCGTAGAAAGTCCCTCCTCATGCGTCGGGGCGAGCGCGTCAATTGGTAATATGCTGAAGAGCCTTGCTTTGATGCAGATCAAGGCGAGTGTCATGTATGCCAGTACTTAGTAACAGAGTCTTCGCTCTGCCTCAATCCAGTACCAGTATTTGGACTCATTTGACGTCCATCGCATCCATTTCCGTGATTTAGGAGACTACCCATTTTAGCTGTCTGTCTTTAAATTAAGAGCTTTTTATTTATTCGTTGGAGCTAATTTTTTTAGTGGGTCTCAAACATAACACATTTATCCAAGGACCAGTTAATATATCTTTATTTTTTTGAAGTCATGAGCAAATTTGAAGGTTATGCTAAGTTGGCTAACCCAGTGGGTCTCACATAGACGATATGCATCCATAGTGATGCGATGCCAAGCTGTTTTGCTACACTCCTATTGTGTCTCTCTTACTCTCTTACACTTCTTGTCCGTAGCCAGACATATATTAAGCGCATAGACACCAGCAGGCAATGCCCCGTTAATAGTCCTATCAGCAGCCTGGAGTCCGATAGTTCAAACTTTGTGAGTTTAGTATGGTATGTATTGTAGTATTACTTCTTCCTTCTTCTTCACTTTCTTGAATGGAACGGGAAGGTTCGATGCTGCGTCCGGTTATAAATGGACACCTTGCTTAGCAGGTCCGTCAGCTATCTCTCTACCTTCAATGTCCGTGAGGCCATACGCCAGTAAATGTACACTCTTCTATTTTCAGCCAGTGCCTGTATAGCTTCTAGACATAATGCGACCACAGCTGTGTTCGTCTTGTATGAAAGAATGGTTTTTACGGTTGCTTGACTATACACATGTATGATGTGTATTCTTTTCGTTTGAAAGTCGGCACTTTTCAGTAGCCCAGCCGCTTTTTCATGGCAAAACGGTCGGCTTGGAAGATACTGCAATGGCTTGGCAGCTTACACGACTTCCTTATCTCTAGTTGGGCGGAGTAAACCGAACCCCCACTCCTTCGTTAATTTTGGAACCCCTCTATGCAAACGTGAAGAACTTGCCTGCATATTTCAGATCTTTATTCCAGACATTTGCCCTCTATTGTAGCTGGAAACAGTATACTCGTATCCTTAAGAGTAACGCGAAAGCGTATAGTCTCACAGCAAATAAGAATGCTCTGTTTTTACCTACCAGGTTTGCTGGAGGAATGTTCAAATTCGCATGTAGCGAATGGTATTGTTCTGTGTGCCACAGTTATGCCGATTATTGAAAGTTTGAATACTCTTTCAAGGCTATCGAGATCTGTACTTTTTTCCAGAGCTTTCCACCATATAAAAGCATCGTAGAAAACTATTGGCTTAACAACAGCCATGAAGATTTAGTCGAAGGTCGCAAGAGAGAGATCCCAAGTGCAGCTCAACATCCTTTTGCATGTACATAGGACCGATGATGCCTTTGTCACTCGTTCCACAACATTAAATCAAACAATTGCCAGATATTTAGTGCTAGTCCTGAGGTGTAAAGTATTCTCTCTTGGTTTGATCCTTGTAAATAGGACACAAATTGTTTTTATCGGTAATAACCTTGAGTCCTGCTGAAATAGCCCATTTGCTTATGGTTCTAAGTGCCTGATTCGCCAGAGCTCCGAGGGTCGCCAACACTTGCCGCCCACCATTACTGATATATCAGCCGCATAGGCTGTAAGCATGACAGCTCCTCCTACCATTTTTTGAGCAATTTATTAACCGCAAAGGTCCAGAGTAGAGCGCTTGGATCTTCCTGCATCTTAGTAACACCTCTCCAATCCCTACTGAGGGTACTTACATAAATATTTTGAGAAGCTTACGAGAGTTTATAGTGTATTTAAAAATATAATTTCAACAATAAAAGGTGGAGTTTTAAGAACAAAGGAGTATTTTATTCAATCAGAGAATTTTGTTCAACATTGTCAAGGTGTGTAATCCCAACGAACATTTCAAAATTTGCTTTGTTTTTTACTAAGCGTATAAATTAAGTCAAAAGAAAGAGAACTTAAATTTAGTTGAGCTTTTTTTGTGTTTGTTATAAATAAAAAATATTAAATTATTATTCGGAAAGGTAGTAAAATTTAGTAATATTTTTAGCCCGCCGACTTCGTCGTAGCAGCTAACCTTGACAGGAAAAATTTTTCACCAAATTTCGAGGAACATAATAAGCGAAATGTCACCACTCGCGGTGAGTTGGCCGAATCTAGTGAGTGCGTCGTATTAATTTTGTAATCAGTCCATCTAAATACTAATCCACCAGTTACTGCTTCTCGTAGATCTCTTGCTTAGAAGTTATACTTGAGATTGCCGCTGGAGAACTTCACGTGCGACACTTGGTCCGAAGGCGAGTACTGAATGCCCAACAGTTTTTCGGTGGTGCTGCTGCCGGTCGGTGAGATGGGTGTGGTGCTGCTGCTGCCCAGCCCATTATCCGAGGCATAAGTGGCGGCAGTGGGTGCAGAGCCGTATTGTCGTTCAGCCAGTTGTTGTTGGCGTTGCATGTAGTTGGCGTAATCGGTGCTGGTGTAGATGTGATTGTTGGAGCCGGCCGTGTAAGCGGGTGCGGTGGGGCGATGCTCTTGGTAGAGTTGACGCAACAGTTGTTGCTGGTAGTTCTGTTGGGCAGCATATTGTTGTTGTTGCTGCTGTTGTTGTTGTTGTAACTCTTGTTGTTGCTGCTGCTGCTGCTGTTGTTGGTATGCGAGATAAGCTGCTTGCACTTGATCTACTTGCTGCGGCAGCACCGACTTCGGTGTCGACGCATATTGCGGCTGTTGTGCCTGCAGCAGTTGTTGTTGTTGCAACTGTTGTTGTTGCTGAATTTGCTGCAACGTCTGTGCGTAGTGATCCTGAGCGTACGTGGGCGTCGCCGGTGTGGTGGCGTATTGCGCGGAGTAAGGATACGACGGCTGCGAGTATTGCACGGCCTGTTGCTGGTATGGCGAGGGCGCCTCAGCCGCGTTGGAGTACTGCAAAGAGGAAGAGGAGTTTAGTTTACGGTAAAGAAAGAATCATAATGAAAAATAAAAAAACTATTAACAAATGCTTTTACATAATAGTCCGCGTCGGTGGTATGCATCACTTTAATGTCTTCTGCGATCGGCAGTGAAAGCTTTTCTTGTCTTTTTGCTGTAGCGTGCTTTTCTATTTTTACGAAAACTTAGGATTTTTTACACAGATTTTGTGAACGGATATTTATTTTTATTTAACATTTATTGAACAAGGCAGAAATAGAATTAAAAATCAAAGTTATGTTTTCCATTCCTTTTTTTTAAGTGACATTAATTTTTTTCTAACAACGCAATTGGATTTTAAGAAGTGCAGAGTTGGTTGCAAAACCATTTTCAAAAGCAGCCGAGAGAAATAGAAGAAAATGCAAGCACTCCGATGGACCCAAGGATGCTCACCGTAGATGCCGTACTCGAATGAAAAGTCTAGATCCAGTAGAACTTCAAGGTTTAAAGAAAATTTTAACACCAACGGAAGGCTTATGGGCGAGTGTTGCAAAGTTTTTCAGTAGATTGCCAGATACATGGACAACGCTGGGAGAAGCCCCGCATTATGGCGCTATGCCGTACTTAAGTCATGAACAGAGAATATCAGGAGAGTTTCTCTGCTAAAAAATCCTTTTGATTGAGTTACTTTTTATTACACTGGTCCTTAGTAATCCTGGGAAGGAGTTTGAACTGATCTCAAAAGTTTTGATAAGATCGCCTCCAAGAGACTAAGAAATTCACAAAATGAAAGAAATCTGACGAATGCAGATTAAAAACTAAGTTCTCATCATGAGATCTGATTGTCTTATAAGAATTGGAATCAACAGAATTTTACTAAAGTTGGGTTTGGCTGCCCTGACTTTAACTCCATTTTGAATTCACCTCGATTAGTAACGAAAACTGACAGAAGTGAAAGCTGCCAAGGAAATTTAAAGTGGAGAATTTCCTTTTATGTAATAAAGCTGCAATATCGTTATATAAATAGTAGCTAGAATTAAAAAAATTAAGTTTACGGTGCTGATGTTGCAACAGTCAATCACGCTCAATTTTGGTTTCTCCGATTTCATTCCAATAATTTGGACAAAAAAATATACTCCACGAAAAGAACAGCCAATTGTCGAAAATGGTTAATTGTCCAGGAGCTAGATATCTCACAAAAAACAGTTAAAAACCAATTGATAAAAGCTGGATATACAAGGAAGCTTAATTTATGGGCGCGAGTGAGTTAACGAGAAAAAAACTCATTGACCGAATTTCCATCTGCGAATCGAGGCCAAATCGTAACAAAATCGATACATTTTCAAAGCGGATGGTGAGTGGCAATGAAAAGTGGATCACTTGTAGCAACTTCAAACCAAAGCAATGAGCCGTCATAAATGGCTGGATAATCTGAATTGACGGTAGACATTTTTTTTGTGTGCTTTTTGGTATTGGCCATGGATAATCCACTATAAGCTGCTTCTTCGTCCAAACTCTTCAATCGGACTTGTTCATTCAGTCCATCTGAAGGAAGCCACTGCCAAGAAACACCTAGCTTTGGCTAACAGGAGGGGAATTGTGTTTCATCAGGACAACGCCAGACCGCACACAACGATAATAACTCGCCAGTAGCACCATCCATCTTATAGTCTGAATCTCGCTCAATCTGTTCCTCTATATGGCAAATGATTTGACTGGTAAAGCATTGGTATGAGGAGAAGCCCATTAAAACCGATAGTCCCATGTTTCTGCCAATAGGGACAATGGTATCTATGAGAGCGGTATAATGACTTTACCTTCAAATTGCCAATGAGTTATGAATCGAATATTTCTTAAATAAAACCGTCAATTTATTGCAAAAATAATTAAGGTAATGTATTCATCAGTGAATTGATAAAGGGAAATCTACAAATATAATATTTAATATATTTAATATAAAAATCGCAGTATACCTCTCACAGTCACAATAAAGTCAGCGGCGCTTTCCTATTAGAGAGCATCAAAAAAAATTGCCTACATTTAGGATCAATAAAAATTATTATTGATTACCTTGAAATGAAATTAAATCATTATTTTTCGCTAATTTAGTTAAAACATTTCAATACAAAACCAATTTCTCATTTAATGAAATAAACTTTTCAAAATTAATTGTTGCATTGCTATCACTTAAAGCTAATTCCCAGAGTATATGCCTGGGCACATATTGTGCGCCACGCTACTGTGGTTGTGAATGAATTACATATTTTTTTTTTTAATTTTTTTTTTCGTCAACAACAAAAATTAAATCATTTTATGGCAAATTTAACTGAGATCAAGCGATAAACAAGAATATTTACATTTTCGATTGAACAACAACAAAAAATGGCTTATCTGCTTATTGCTTTTTCTGTGCTGCGTTGTTGTATTTGTTAATATTATGTAAATGCGCTGCAGATGAACAGCTGATAAATTTGCTCAAATATGAGAACACAACAAAATAGCGTAGAAATTCTTTTGAACTTTAGCTGTTGCATGTCACTGGCAATGTCGCACTGACAAAAGCGTTTTCTCTCCACAGCAATTAAAAGCTGCCAAAGTGATGCTATGATAACGGTTTATGGCCATAAAAATAAATAAAAAATGCATTAAATTCGCTGGAATTTTTCCATACATATTTTTATGGAAACAAAATTTAATAGTTTTTATTTTTTAAATTTATAAAACCATAAATAAATGTTGGAAAATATCAGTTGCCGCGAGGCGATCACTGAGAGCAGTGGAAAATGCTTTAGAGAAAACTCCGCGAAATTTTGAAAATTATAAAATGACTAACGAGCGAAAGTCGTGCCTGCAAAGAGCTCTCAAATGGTTTTGGATATGTTTTACTTTTAAGCAAATATTGAGCGCTTCAGCACTGCCGCAGGTAGAAGCAGCCTATGCAACGGACTTCACGGTACTAAACTTACTTTTTTCTCTCTCCCAACACACAGAACTACTTCGAACAAGCCGCTGCTGGCGCACTCGGTGTCGCCAATCACATAGCGGAGGCCTTTCAAAATGGCGCTGCTGTGCGCAAGGGAATGGGATTTCAGCTACCCGGCATGAGCATGCGTTCCAAAACGGAGGTGGGTATGGGTGAAGCGGTCATTCATCGCAGCTATAGTAGTGAAGAGGATTCGCATGAGTATCGACGTAAGCGTGCGATCGATAGCAATGAAGATCTTGCAACGGGCGGTCCACATATTTCCTTCTCCAAACTCATGCGCAAAATCAATGCGCCCTGCCATAGTGGTAGTGGTGGTGGCACCGGTGGCGGGGATGCAGGTGGTGATGATATTGTCGACGAAGCACGTCGTCGTATGGCACGTATGAGAGCTCGAAAAGCGGCGGCGGGCAAGAAGAAGAGCACTTCAACCAAGAAGAAGAGTGGTCGTCGTCGTCGTCGCAGGCGTCAAACTGAGTTGGACGACTTGGAGGATTTGGGTGAGAGTAAGCGTGCCGAATTTAAAAATGAATTTCGAGCGCATGTGCAGGAGTTCACTGACAAAATGAATCGTGTCTATGAACACATCTCAGCTTCGGTGATGGAAATGATGCAGCGTATGCAGGAGCACTTTTACGACGATGCCAATGGGGAGTCGTAGAGTGTGGAGGTGGTGATACGAGTATATAAAGTAATAATGTTGGGGTTTACATATATATTTTAATATTTACAAAAACACTATATTTTTGACGATTTTGAGCACTGGAAAGTGCTGCTGAAGGAGACATCGAGCAGAATCTCCGAGTAGTTTGTTTTTATTATGTATTTCATTGTAAAAATATAACGGTACATTTTTCATTTTGTTAATAAATTTGTAGTGTAATTGGTAGCGAGGATATGAGAGGCATAAGAAGCCAGTGACATAAGTAAGAGGAAGCCAACCTTTGTATCTTTTTTTATTGTTATTATTAGTGTTTTTGTTTTTTTTTTGTGGAGGATACGATCCCTTAAGAGAATCTACAATACCGAAAATTTTTTCATATAAAGGCCACAGAGAGCTTTCTCGAGTATGAAATTTTACGAATTACTCCATATAAGAGTGTCAGTAGTCAGTTCGAAAGCGGAGGGAAGCAGAAAAAATACACTGCGTTGAGTTGATGCCATCTGCTCCTTCCCTGGTAGCAAAGAATGGGTGGATATCGAGCTCATTGATAGCGGTGTAGAAAACTATAACTATACTTATGGGCCTAAAGACAAGGGAGGCGTACAAGGTCTATGCATTTAACTTGGGACTCAAAACAAGTGGATCTAAGCCAACGACAAGGTGTCACTAGTGAGGATGTCACACTGAAATAGAAACAGCAATATCGCAAGGAGAGTAGGCTTCATTTTATATACACATCCATTCAAGAGCAACGTCCGCGCGCAGCCTTCAATTGGTGTCTAAAGCTGGTCCACTGCCTGAGGTTTTAGACCACTCTTAGTGATGAGTCGATGCTGAACAGTCAGCGCCTTCAATTGGTGTCTAACGCAGTGGACCCTGGTTGAATACCTGAGGTCCAAAGGCACTTTTATTGAACAGTCGATGCTGACCAGTCAGCGCCTTCAGTGGATCTTGGTTAAATACCAGAGGTCCCAGAGCACTTCCTACGTCGGACCCACAACTAAATTACTGTGAGGTAGTGCCGTTGCTTATCTCTATATCGTTTGAGTATAGAGTCAAAACCACGGAGCACCACCTACGCGAGAGTCCGATCGTCGATTGGGATATTATGCCTTTGACATTGCTTCAGCCTTACGGAAGTGTACACATACGGGTGAATGAATTTAAAACCAAACCGAACCTAGTCAATGGTTTAAGTGAGCCCACTTGGGACCCACCTCTCTTACAACTAACTAACCAATGAGGTAGGAAATATTTGCTTTAGCCCTTGTAATCATTGGTATTAAAGAGGGATACGGACAGTCTGTTCCTCTTATTGCAACGAATTTGAGTTCGAATGCAGACGGAAGGTAGTAAAAACCAGAACGGTTCCACGGATTATTCTTTAGCTAACAGGACAGGACTTTTGGACTTAAGTGGATTCAAAATTATACCCAGTTGAAATTTATATTAAAACTACCGTTATATGAATCCGATTCCATCCATTTGCACTATCATCTAAACTTATGACCCAAGCAATGCTTCATCAAAATATCTAAATCTTTACATGAATGACCATTCATGGACAAACGGAAGGAAGCAAGAACGGGCAGATGAACAGACGGACATGGCCAAATCGAGTCGTCTCGCCACGCATGCAGCTTGATGCATATATTAAAGCTGCAGAGCTAAATAAGTAAGCTCTTAATAAACGCGCCGTTAGTTCTACTTTCGCGAAGCTTGACAAAAAAGCGAAACGACTGGGCTGATATTGACCGAGGACAATCCAACGCAGAATCACTCTTTCCAACCGCTGCTACCTTAGACCGAGTAGGATATTGAAAAGTAAAGTCTTTCCCGACGAACCAAAATCAAACTCTAAAAGTCTCCCTTATTTCCGTCCTACTTTGTGGCGCAGAAGCCTGGAGGATGTTGACGGTCATGGAATTGGCCCTGGGGATTTTCGAGAGAAAAGTTTTCCGAACGATTTTGGTCCATTGCGCATTGGCAACGCTGAATAATGCAGATAAAGAACGATAAACGTTGAGCTGCACCAGATATACGAATGAAGAGACGGCGGAGAGCGGTTCAGGCAGCAACACCCCCAAGTGGAAGCAGAGGATGGATTAGGTGGAGAGTGAGCTGGTTTCACTTGGTATTCCTAAGTGGCGCCAAACAGCGAATATAAGGAACAAACAGCGCGCTATTTATTTACTGAAGAAGAGGAAGGTGCTCATACTTTTATTTCGGAGCTTGGTTCGAAGGTTTTGACTTGGTTGGTCTAAAATCTGCCAAACAAAGGGCCGATAAAAATCATTCGGTCAAGTTCTTTGCTGATTAGGTAGAACATAAGTACTACACTTACTGAATTATGAAGCTAAACGAAAAATTACGAAAGGTCACTAAAAATAAATGCTCATTATACACTTGATTAAAAATAAATTAAAATAAATATCGGAAACTTTTTAATTACCAATGTAATTATATATGGTTATCCAGTTTGTAGAACGGGGCTGTATTTTAACATCTGTCATTATTGACTGTCAATTTTTAACTATTTTAAAGAGAGGTTATGGTGCAGGAAATCTAACTACTCAAGCAATTGGTAAAATTTAAAAAAAAAAGAACACGATTTTGACAATTCGTGGAGACCACACGATGTTGCCACATGAACGCAACACGAGCGAGAAATTTCCCGGCAGTGCAATCCTTCGTCTTGGTGATGTCAATTGGCTACAAAGATCGGGCACTCGAAGTTTGCAAATATTAAGACGGTAATTTGAATGATAGGACGTGATAGCCGAGTGGTTCGCATTGTGTACTGCGATTTGGAAAACTCGGGCTCAAATCCCCGTACCACCAACTTCCAAAAGTTAGAGAAAATTAAGTTAAATTTTCTAATTGCGGTCGCCCTTCCGCACGGAATGTCAACTCCTCCGAGTTTGTTTGTGACATAAAATAAATGCTCTTCGGAGGAGGAGCTCGGCCGAAAATCGCTTGAAATCCATTTTTATTCTGAAGCCACAAAATCGACAATCCCGTAATTATGCTTTTCGTGCAGCTGAAACAGTATATTAGCTTTGGTCGAAAGTATGTAAGTAACAGAAGGAGTAGAGATAGTCCCATAAAAATGTATATCGATCGGGTCAGCTTGAAGAATTGAATTGATTTAACCATGTCAGGGCATTTAGAAAAAAATACGTTAAAACAGCAACTGAGAACATACTTTGGTGTTGAAAATCATCGAAATCGGAGGACTATATCCTATTAACCCCTCCAACCGTTTGTGAGTTATGATAAAATTAATTAATTTCAAAATGTAATACTATTAATCATGAAAGGTATAAAGAGTGAAGTCCACTCTCTACTCTTGTTTTAATTTATTTTCAATACATTTTTATCATTATTTAATGAGTTTTATTAATATTAAACTATTATTTATTATCTATAACCAATGAGTTATAATGTAATATTTTTATTTGTTGTTTATTATTAATTTTTAATTCTTTATTATTTAATAGTATTTTCTTATTACTCATGTTTTATTACTTATTATTTAATAATAATTAATATTTCTTTATTACTTATTTTTTTTTTATTTCTAATTGTTTATTATTTATAACTTATTATTATTTTTTTTTCATTTATTATTATTTTTTACAACTATATTTTGTTGATCTAATGCCAATTAATTATTATATAATATTGTTTATTATTTATTATTTAATAATATTTTTTTCTTATTCATGTTCTATCACTTATAATTTACTACTAGTTAATATTACCTGTTATTTATTTTTTATTTATTTGAAATTATTTATTATTTATTATTTTTCATTTGTTATTTATTATTAATTATCTATTTTTTATAATGTACTATTTATTGTATTACTTACTTCTAATTATTTATTATTTATTATTTACTATTTATTATTTATTATTTATTATTTATTATTTATTATTTATTATTTATTATTTATTATTTATTATTTATTATTTGTTATTTAATATTTATTATTTATTATTTATTATTTATTATTTATAATTTATTATTTATTATTTATTATTTATTATTTATTATTTATTATTTATTATTTATTATTTATTATTTAATATTTATTATTTATTATTAATTATATTTTATTTATTATTTATTATTTATTTTTTATAATTCATTATTGATTATTTATTATTTATTATTAATTATATTTTATTTATTATTTATTATTTATTTTTTATTATTTATTATTGATTTTTTATTTATCATTTATTTTTTATTATTTGTTATTTATTATTTATTATTTATTATTTTTTATTTATTAGTTATTACTTATTATTTATTGTTTATTACTTACTATTAATTTTTTATTATTTACTATTTATTATTTATTATTTATTATTCATTATTTTTAAATTTTTATTAATTATTTTTCACTTGTTTTTTATTACATATTATTTATTATTTATTATCATATTATTTATTATTATATTTCCAAATTTATTATCCATCAATTTTAATTGCCACAATAACTGTAGTCATTATCGCTTTCTAATCTACAACAACCAATTACTTGTTGTATGCGCTTCGTTTTAGTTTTCACCAATTAAATTAATTTCAACATATCTAAACACTGCTATTTTCATGTTAAGCGAAGCAACAAACAACAACAACAATAAATAACACACATTTCACCAAAGCTTTATAATCCGTTCATCCGACTTTCTCTGTGAAGAATCTTTAATTGAAATCGAAACTGCACAGCAGCCAAGGCGACGGTGGAAGCGCTTCTTTTCTGTATTTTTATTCTCATTCTAATAGGCATTTGCTGAACGTCTGCTAATTGCATACATATATACATACGTAGGAGTACAAGGAGATATTTGCTTAACGGTTTTGCAGTTATTCAAGGAATACAATAATTGGGAGCGAAAATGAAAATTAGACGAAATCAATTAAATTTGCCACGCATTTCCTTTGTCGTTTTAAGTTTCCTGCTCTGCTTTAAAGCAGCGACGGCAGCAGCTTCAATATTGACTGCTGCTGAGTTGAGGCAGGATAAGGCACCGCATAACACGGTGGGTGGTCCGCAGAGAGAATTTCACTTTCAATATGAGCAAGTGGAAAGTAAAAAAATAAAAAAATAATGAAAAAAAAAAAAATAAATAAATAAAAATAAACTAAATTAAGCTGAAATGAGCAAACTTGATTCAAAAGTATTCATTTCATTTCAGTTCGCTACGCGTAATGTGCGGCCACAACAACAGCAACATCAACAACTGGATCAACCACACACTCGTTATGTGCGTCGCCCGCAGGCTTTTAACGCTTTATTAACTTCCGTTGGCCAGTTAAGCGACTCGCCTCTACGTCATCAACGCCGCCCCCTCCAACGCGCCGGCCATTCAAAGCTGACAAAAACCAAAGAGCATACACTCAAGCGTTTAGGGCGCGCTGTAAATGATGGCGAGAGTGGCGATGCCGATGATTACAATGAGGAAGGACCAGCTTGGCCGGAGCAGGCGGGTGGGGACGATGGCGTGAACTTTGTGGAGCAATGGATACGCGATAGTTTCGGTGAAATGTTCGGCTCTGTGATGGAGTGGGTGTTGCGCTGCATAGACGCTATCTGGAAGTTTTTCGCCACAGCTGAGGAGGAGGCGGAATAGAATAATGATAATGAGTCGATGTAAGAGTGGTTTCGTACGTGCGGGATGTTGTCCGCATAGCAAATGGAAAATGGAGGAGAACAATGCAAACGTTCGTTATTTCAATTGATTTTAATCCGTTAATTACTTTTAGTTGTGTGTGTGCTTAGTGTTTCATGTAAATTCCTGAAGTAGTTAGCAGTTTCACTTAAATGTTGAATAAATTGAGAAAATTCCGAATTTATTAAAGTAAAAAATTTTTTTTTTAGGAAATTGGGAGAAAAAATCAACAAAATGGTTTTTTTTTTTAATTTTTCTTTCAGCAACACTTGGAAACATTTCGTTTGGGTTCAAACCGTGTTTTTATTTTATTTTAGAAGCAGAATTCCTTCCATTACTCCCTTTGATCATAAAAACCCCAACTGGTTGATTGAAGACTCGGTAGCTGGTCGGCTCATTATGTCCTCCAACAAAGCTTGAATATCGGTCGGTTGTACCATTTTCTTCGGCTCATTCGTATTCATTTCGGTAAGACTGAAGCTTGGGGCATCATGGAAGTTAACAATGAAGTCTCAATCGTTTAAAGACCGGAGTGGTCTAGAGTCTCGCTGACTTTGTGCAAAATCTGTGCTTCTAGCCGATTCTACCTAAATTGGTTTTTGATCTGAGAGAAAAATGTCTTGTCATTACACTTACAGTAATACTAAGTTTCCTCCTGCTAAGTGTAATCTGTCTGGAATTATTAATTAATTTAGGCGTACATCCCACATTGGAAGTGCTGTAGGACCTTAAGTATTCCTCTAGGTAGGCAGCGCTGTTTTAGTTAACAGTTAAATCGCTGACAGATTCCTCAAGCACCAAAAGTTTTATTACCCACAGAACGAAGCGGCAGGTGATGATGGATTGTAATCAAATACGGCTTCTTTGCAGAATATGGTCGGATGAGCGCTTGATAAACGAGGGGAACCTTAATATGCTCTGCCCAATCCACAAAAAGAAAGACCTCACCATATGTGAGGATATGTAAGGGATTGAATAATTTTAACAACAAACCGATTGGACCTTATCAGAGTGGTCTCAGACCTGGACAATCCGAAAATTTCAACACACAACTTCGACTCGTCGTTATTAAAACATCATTCGAAGTCATGGAAAGGAGTTGCCTCTTCGAAGGTTCATTTGAATTTGGTATCCTCGCATTACGAATGGGTATTATTATTAAATCGCTTTCCTCTGAAGTCCTCTGAGTCCATTCAAATAAGTCACAGTAAAACTTTAGCTGTCTATAGTTTAATTTAAATTCTGGAAATCATCGAAACGCAAGGAATTAAGACGAGACAGAGTTCGCCGAATCCCCTAAAACGTATATATATCTTCCAGTGTAATTATGTAAATATATTGAGATGTTATGCCTTGTAAAAAGGATTCCATAATTTCTGCAATAAACAGTTTTAGTCATCTGTATCTCGTGTTCCATAAGTGAGATTGGATTACACTAGATGGCCTCAAAAAGTTGATTCTTTGATAACGATTTCAAAGATGGGCATCAGCAAAGAGCTATATTCGCTTGGGTTCATCGATTTGGACAGCCAATTGTCGAAATTTTTGATATAATAATGGAAATCGTTGAGTCTGACCGTCATACGAGAACTATTTTCATTGCAAAGAAGCTAAATATTGCACAAAAGATAGTTAGGAATCACTTGAAAGAAGCTGGAAACACAATGAAGCTCGATGTATGGATACTAGGAGAAAAAGTCTTGTGGGTCGAATTTCTATCTGCAAGTCGCTGCTGAATCGCATCTAAATCGATTTCTTAAGCGGCTGGTGACTGCCGATGAAAAGTGGATCACTCACAGCTAGATGAAACGAAAATAGTAGGGCAGTAACCTGGCGCAAACCGTCTCGAATCCATAAAGATTTTGTTGTGTGTGTGGGGTTAATGGCACGGAATCATCCACTATGAGCTGCTGTTTTACGACCAAGCGCTTAATATGGATCTGTCAGCAAGTGGAACACCTGAGGCGCTCAGCTTAAGCCAACAGGAGGGGAATTGTTTATCATCACGTTAACGTCAGACTACACACATCGATAGTGACAGGCCAGAAGCTGCGAAAACTTGGTTGGGACGTTCTGACGTATCCACCTTTGAATGCGGACCTCATACCAAGGGGTAACCAACTGTTTCTGCCTATGGCGAATGATTTGGCTGCTGAAGAATCGACCTCAAGCGAAGCGCAAGAAAATTGAGTATCCCAAGTTTTAGCCAATAGGAACAACGGATTCACAGAGAGAGATATTTGCTCAAAAATAGCAAAAAATTATCGAAAAAATCGGTGTCGATTTTGCATGAATCAGATAATTCTAACTATAGTCGATATTCAATTTGTTTCATACTTTTTACTGTACCTAGTACTTCGTAGGCCGCGGTAGCCGAGTTATAAAGTTTAAATAAAAAAAAGGTAAATTTTCTAATTGCCGTCGCCCCTCGGCCGAGTATGTGAACACCTCCGAGTGTATTTCTGACATGAAATAAAAGCTGCTCATAAAAAACCATCAGTCGTTTGCAGGCGGCTCTAGGTCCTTCCATTTGTTGGAAAAAAATCAAGACGCAAAACTACAAATTGGAGGAGAAGCGTGGCCGAAAAATCACTTCAGCGGATAGAGAGAGCCAATTATCTATATAATACATCGGCACTCATACTCACATATATTTGTATGTTTATATATATATATATATATATATATATATATATCTATATATACATGTATGATACAAACAAAACAAGCAACTCTCCTCCGCATTGACCACAATTTTATCCGGAAGTACGTGTAAAATTATCGTAATGAATCGCAAGCCGAAATTGCGCATAATTAAAAGCCAGCAGAATCTATTATATATATTCACATATATATATATATGTATATGTATGTACATATATTATATTAAGTAATGAGTGTGATTTCGGAATGTAATGAATTGATTATTAATAAATTGAATTGAATTGAATTGAATTGAATTTAAGTGGAACGAGATAATTTGCTAATGGCGTGTGAGGTCTTCGTATTTATATTTGTAAATATATGTATATTAGAAAATATACATATCTACATACACTCGGCAGAAAAAGTCTGCGTACATAATACCAACCAAAATAACTCATTAAAATATTTATAATTTTAAAAAATACCGTTGATTTTGTATTCATTAAGGGATATAAAATTTGTAGATTTTTGAAAATAAAAGTGATAAATATTCTAATAATAACATGCAAACAAAACAAAACACAAAGGCGACTAGAAAATTAATTAGAAAAAGTCTGCGTACAAGGTAATTGAGTCGAGCAATGGCATTCTCTTTTCAAATTCCACCTAAAATTTAACAAGAAGTCCAATATCCTCTACATTTTAAAACTTCCGCTAGGCGTTTTGGCACGGTTTCTATCGAAGAGATTTGAACCCATTCCTCGTGCAGTACATCCTTGCGCATAGCCTTTAAGGGTAATTGTGCGTTGGCGAATTTTACTTTCCAGTGAATCCCACAGGTGCTCTATAGAATATAAATCTGGTGACTGTGGTGGTGTTCGAAGCAGCTTGGGAACGTTGTAGAGCAACCACAGCTTCACTATCTCCGCGGTATGCTTCGGGTCGTTATCTTGTTGAAAGTACAATAGTAGTCACTTTCAAGACCCACTTCTTCAGCGCTTTGCTTCGAATTTCTTTTCAAAAACATTAAGATATGCATATATGTCCATAGTGGACTCTATTAATTCCATTCTGCCCACACCATTACTGGCCACGCACCCCTATATCATTGCTTAACCACCACCACCATGCCAAGCTGTGCTCTGTTTTCGCCATAAAATCTTACGCCCTTTGATTCCGAAGACGCAAAGTTTGCTCTCGTCGGAAAAAATAACCTTCGGCCAGAACTCCTGAGGCTTATTTAAGTGCTCTTTCGCGAAAACAATACGTTTTTGCCTATTGACTCGTGATATGAATGGCTTTTTGCGTGCGACATGGCCGTGGTACCCTGCTTTTTATAAATTTTGCGTATGGTGTCACCGCAGAGGGTCTTCTAGAAATTTTCCTTAACATTTTGAGCGATTTTGGATGCTGAAAGTCGGGGGTTTGGCTTCACACTCTATAAAACGTAACGAGTTTCACGAGTTTTCACAATTTTGACCGCCCTGGTTGGGGCCAAGAAACTTTAAGTGCTTTTATTATATTGTTGCGAAAATGCGAGGCGAATGTTAGATGAAAGAAAGAAGCCGATAACTAGTACATTCTAGAACGATGAAACGAGAACCTTCGATAGCGAATAACTCGATTATTCCACACTTTCGTCTACGAGCAGCCAACTGCTATATAAGGGCGACACTCAGCTGTCAAGTGAGTTACAAAGTGAACTCGTTGGCGACAACATAGAGTATAGCGGAGTAAACGCGTTGGAGATTACATTTAAGTAAAGTAAATTGTGAAAGTTGATGCTAGTAATTGTAAATAGTAATGTGCATTGTAATTGAATTGTGAATTACTGAATAAATAAAGGACATTAGATAAAATTTTTATAACGAAAGAAGCTGCAAATTAAGTTGGCGATTTTTTTATCTAACAATCCAGAGATCGTACCCGAAGGATTCAGAAAATAATAGAGGTTGATAACAATATTATGCAATAGACAAGCAGTAAACCACATAATGTGATCTCACTCTGAAATTTTTTATGCTAAAGTTATTTTTTAACAAAAGAAATTAAGCCTTAAGGGTGTACGCAGACTTTTTCTGCCGGGTGTACACGTATGTATATAAACATCTACTCATGTACAATATACACACACACAAAAAACACATTCAAATCATATTTGTGCGAAATGCCTCTTAATTAGCCGTAAATATAATTATAACTATATTTGTTGAATAAATTGCTAATTAAATTAATAAATGGAAAATAAATATATTTGTTGTTTGGCAAATATTTCAAAAAAAAAAAAAAAAATAAAAAATATAGAAAATGAGCAAAATGTTTAAAAACCAAAAACGAAATTTAAAAAATTAAAGTTTAAGTTAAAATTTATTATATAAATAAACGAGTTGTTTGTTAAAAAGAGTATTTAACGTTAGTTTCTCCGAATATTAGTTTGCTTCCTATCATCAAAAAAAAGAAATTATATTAAATAATAAATAATTTGTTGTATGCGTCTTGATGTTTTTCCGAGGGACCTAAAGTTTATGCTACGCGGCCGCTGAACGGATGATGGTTCACATGCCAGAAATACACTCGAAATACATTCCCTGCCGAGGAGCGACCGCAGTTGAACAAATTAACATAATTTTGTATTTCAATTAATTTTCTATAACTTTTGAATGTTCGTCGCATTCGAACCCTGGCCTTCCGCATGACAGTATACGCAATGCTGAACACTCGGCTATCACTCAGCTCAACATCTTGATGCATTTCCAGTAGAGCTACAGACACCCCGATATCGACCACTGCGAGCAGCTCGACACTCGTTTGTTGCTCAACTACTCAAATGATAGTTTGAAATTTTTCAAATTTTCATTTTTGCGTTCAAAATTTCTTCTGTATTCCAATGAGTTCTACACTTTGCATAAAGAAAATTCAAAGTATGGAAAGGAGTTATGGGAAGAGAGTAGAATTTTTGATTTAAGATGCTCAAAAATGTTCGAAAAAGCTCGAGTAGGCGAGCACTCGTTGCTCAAATGTTGAACAACTCGTAAATGTTCGGACAAAATCTTGAGCTCCAATTTCCAACCAGAAAAAACGCATTTTTCGTGTTCATATAAAAAAAAGTTTCGGACACATTTTTCGGCAAGACTTTGCAGTCGCCGAGGACACGAATGGCTGTTGGATAGTACGTCTATCATGTCTTAAAGTTGTTAGCTAAGGATCTTCACAAAGTGCAGCTTTTAAAAGATTTGGGATCACTTCGTTACCTCCCCCGAAGCTAAATCATTTGTTTTTGTATTTTAATTTATTTTGAAAATTTTTAGCTTTCGATTAACTCAAATTTTATTTAGTACCCCGATGCCGAAATTTTCATAGCATGTTATTGTAAAATATGGCTGCATCAAAATCTCACAGGCTCGATAAGCTGGAACGAACAATTAGGGAACATCCCAAAAACGCTTGAGCAATTTTACAAGCAAATTTTTATGAAAACTCGTCCTGGAGGAAAAGATCAGTAGCACCCTTTACTCAAGTTACAAGATGCCAGAGGTCTGCTTTCGGGGTAATGCATGAACTTTAGTAAGTTTTAGTAAGATTGCGAGCAATAAAATCTCAAACCGAAAACACACTGAACTCTACATAACGATGGCGCTAAGAACTACTCCTATAGCTGCTCAGATCCTTTGGACATACCTCAGGGTCCGAGCACTCCGCACATTTGAAACAACGATAATATCGTCGAAATGAGTAAGCAGAACTTCAAACTTCCTGACAAACGGATTAGCAATGGATCGTGGATGGGTACCAGTACTTATTGCGCTGAGTTGCTAGATCTGAGGCTACATTACCAGGTTATATAATTTTAAGCACTTTTCACATATATTTATATTGATAGTCAGGCCGCAATTCAGGCACTAATAACACCTCGCATTACATGAGGGAATGCCCTTGGCCGCAAGAAAGCCGTGCTGAAGAGTACTGCACCGTATCAGTTGCAAATTTACTATATTTCTGGCCACAAAGACACAAAGTTGTTGAGTAGATTGTTAAATTAACCAACCTTCTGGGAACCGGAATAATGCATGCATTGCGAAAGGCGCTAACTACACTGTGCAATGAAATTTTTGATAAAGGTTAAGATCATGGGCTGCAAGACCAAGCGTCACTCGCGATCAAAATGCGCATTATTGGCAATCATCGTCATACATCAGAGTCTATGAAGGAGGTGAGAGAGAGTGGTTGGAACATTTTGTTTGTTTCTATCTAGCCTTGTTTAGAACACATCTTAGACATGCAGAAGACTCGATTTTGAGAGGACTATAAGACCAAAGGCTTTAAGTAATGCTTAGTAGCCAGCCAGTCCAACCCAACCTAACCTAATCCAACTAAAGGGTCGGTATTATATGAATGGAGGAAGAGCTTGGCCGAAAAATCGATTCAGCGGTTACAAAGCGCCAATTATATATATATATATATTGAAAATTAAAAAATTATTTTTTCTTTTAGAGAAAAATTAAAAAAAATAATATTTTCCGCCCTTCGCAGTCTCTTCACTCTCTCGCTGCCCCAAAAGCATACACATTTGCATGTTCACTCAGGGATTTCCCTCGCCAGCAATTAGTGTTTTGATATCATCAATATGCAATTAATTGCGCCACCAATCCCCAATAACAATCAGCAGGCAATTGAAAAAATTACTTCCCAACAACAAACCGAACGAAAATCAAAGGTGAATATAAATTAAAACATTCCGCAAAGCGGCGCCTATCGCAACGAGACACACGGACGAATAATGAAAAAAATTATATTTCTGCTACTCAGCGTTGCATTTTGGTGGGTGCATTCGCTGCCGCTGGCTGAACCGCAACCAGAACCTGAACCACAGGTTAATACCAACCGACCGCTTTGTTAGCTTTTTAAACTCATTTTCCTTTTTTTTCAAATCACCACAAAAGGACTTTCAAACAGGCGCTCTCTTGTTAGTCGGACAAATGAAAGAGATCATGGAGAATGGCGCTGCCGCAGCTAATGAGCAAGAATTCGAATTTCTGGGCGCTAAGATCAGCAATGGTATGGGTATGGGTTTCGGTGATGCTATGAAATTCCCTGGCGGACGTAGACGCAGACGTGATATTGGCGAGCAGGAGCTTGGTGCAGGTAATTCTTTAAGCTATGAAGATTCAGACTACTCATTATCTGATTACTCTTATGCATCAGAAGATTCGATAGAGCGAAAGAAGCGCCATGCGTCTAGTTCTTCGAGCAGCAGTTCATCGGGTTCCTCTTCGTCGTCATCGGGCTCATCATCCTCTTCCTCAGATGAATCGGATTAATGTTGAGTTAAATTTGGAGAAATAAAACAATTTCGAAAGGTATTTGGTGCCTTCCTTGCAGTCGGGGTGGCATTAGAAAAATATGTAGCTTATTCGGAGAAAGTGATTAAGTGAAAGCCATGTGAGCCGAGTACAAAATTGCATGCCCGTCTGGAGTTTCACTTGGGTATAAGGATATCTGACACCTTTGCACGATTCTCAGGATTTCAGTCAGGGCTTCCTAATCTATTTCAGACCTAAAACAGCAAATCAAGATTATAAAAATTCCTGAGGATGAAAATAGTGTCCCCTTATTTATTGCTTCACCGCCTCTATAACAACAGAAAAAATTTTTTTTCGACAGCTGAAGACTGTTGGGTTAATTAATCTGAGTGGAGTCAGTTTTGACTCAAAGCACCAGATTTATAAAGGGCAGTAGTTGCTACTTATGTTCAATTTGAGGAAGGGCTCCATGAGAAATACTTTCTAAGCTCATTCCTCAGGTTTAGTTCAGCTTGAGCTAAGATTATTGATAGAAGGCTTTCTTAATTCTTTCTCAAAAATTTTGATTTTCCTTAAAGCCTTACTTTTGCTGCTGCGATTTGCTGTCCACCACGTTTCGTTATAACAGAAAAACAATTTAGCGACTTTTTTATGAGTCTAGGAGAAAAGTTCCTAGCTGGAGGTGACTATAATGCGAAGCGTACGCATTCAAGGGTAATTAACCCGAAAGGTCGTCAGTTATATAATGCGATCATAAGCAGCAAAAATAGATACGATTTTATTTCCCCAAGACAACCAACTTACTGGCCTACGGACTCAAGGAAATTACCTGACCTGATTGACTTTGCAGTCATTTAAAACGTAGATAAATGTGCTGGCTTATCTTCTGATCATTCCTCAGTAATCATTATATAGAACGAACAAGCAATTTGATTTCAATGTATGTAGAAATGATCACTGTTTGGTGCGGTTTATGGGCTGATGGCATATTTGGACCGGACCGTACTTCTTCAAAGATGATGCGAATCGTAACGTAACTGTGTATGGTGATCGCTGCTGTGAGATGATATTAAACTATTTTTGGCCCAAAATGCAATAGTTTGACTTGTATGACATGTGGTTTCAACAAGAAGGTTCCACTCAGCACTCGTAACAATGGGCTATTGAGAGGCGAGTTCGGTGAATATTTTATTTCACGTTCGGGAGCGGTCAATTGGCCGCCTAGATCGTGCGATTTAACGCCTTCAGACTATTTGCTTGTGGGGCTATGTTACATCTAGTGTCTATACAGACAAGTCCGCTTCAATTGACGCAATGAAGGGCAGCATTGAAGCATTTATTCGTGAGATATCGGCGGAAATGTTCGAATGAATATGCCAATATTCGAATAAGCGGATGGACCATTTGAGACGCAGTCACGGTCAACATTTGCATGAAATAATCTTCGAACATTAAATTCAATGGACCGTACTCCCTATTTGTTTTTTTGAAAAACTTTCCTATAGCTTTTAAAAAATCACCCTCTCTTTAACAGTATACTACCAATGGCAACACCATAGCAAGAAAACAAGAGCAAAAACATTGATAAATAATACCGGAATAGAATTACTGGTCTGAAATAAGCGACGTTCGTGTCGTGAATGGCAAGCCTATCGATCTCCCGATGCAAAAATGCGAAGAAGAAAGAAATTTTAACGTCTTTGTCTCCCAACGTTCCTACTAAAATAATATCTATGACAATCAGACAAAAACCTTAACCCATCATTAGAGTTGATTGAGTTGAGTTGATGCGGCTGCTGGTCAAAACCCAGCACATTTAGGCCAATAAGCCCATTATGCTGAAGTCAGTAAGTCCTGAAACACCGTTGAGTCGGTGTAATGTTTCCTGAGCCAGAATGGATGAAGAAAAGGCATCTTGTTTTGAAGAGCACCTCAAGCAAATACCGCTACAAACCCTTGCCACCGAACCATACTGCTCCTTAATACACTGTTACTTGTAGAGCATCTATGTCTGAACTAGAAAACATTATTATGGCATTAACTCCAAAAAAAAAACGTCCATGAGACGCTCATATCTCACCAAGAATGCCAAAAGAACTGCCAAGCACTGCTCTTGTTCTGCTTGCAAAGCTTTTCAGTGCCATACTAAAGCTCGGATATTACCCACAAATGCGGAACAAGTCGCCGATAATTATGATTGCTAAACCAGGTAAAGACGACCCTGTAGTCATCATAGAACCAGTTCTCTTGCCTATCCAAACTTTTCGAAAAAGTGTTGCTATCAAAAACCACATACCTCGGAATCCACTTGGCCAGGCGCTTAACCGGAGACGACACATTGAACTCAAATCTACCAGTTTACATTGGCTTTAAGCAAAAAGTGTGGGCTTGGCCGTAGCAACAAAGTACTCTTATATAATGATAAAACCGATATGGATGTATGGAATCCAGTTATGGGGCACAGCTTGCCAAACCAACCGAACCCTTCGGACATCACCTCGGCCCATGCAACAAGTCGAACCCCCCTGCGGAGAAGAGACAATGCAGCATCTTCATTTCCACTATATTTAGCGGAGCCGCCGGTCTATGAGGCAGAAGTGGGATGGTGGGAAAAAGGTGCGAGTCCTCTCTCATATCCTTCAATCACCACAACTGTGTCACACCATTTTTTTCATACAATTTCCATTCCATTTACCTCACACACACAGCAGACGTGAAGTGAAAAACCGTTAAAAATTTGCTTAGCACGTGTAAAACACTGACAACACCAACACACTAATGCCCACACGCCCACTTACATTTACTTACCTGTGAAAATTGTGGAAATTGTTGGCGCTGTGTAAATTGCTGTTGTTGCTGCAGTGGTTGCTGATACTGTTGTTGCTGTTGCAATTGTGGCTGTGCCAGTGGTTGCGCAAATTGCTGCAATTGTTGCGGCTGCTGCGCGTAACTGGGCGTTACTTGTTGACGTTGTTGCTGTTGCAGTTGTTGCTGTTGGAGTTGTTGTTGTCCGCCAAATACCCGTGAGAAGCTCTGCTGCAGCGCTGGGGTCTTCAGGGTGAATGAATTCGAATTGGCATCCGTATGGAAGGACAATTGCGCCAACGAGGCGTGCAGCAGGCAGGCGATAAGCAAACCGAGCGTCGCCACCTTCCGCGTGGCCGCATGTGGGTAATTAAACGAAGCCATGGCTAATGCGAGATCCTGTATCGTTATTAGTTTGGATGTTTTATTTTCGCTATTTTGTGTTTTTTTTTTTTGCCTTGCTAATTTTGTACCGTTATTACTTGCGGTGTACACGAACCGACGACAATGTGCGCGCTTTTAATTCGACAACTGATTGGCGCTGGCGCTTTTGGGATTTTTGGTTTTATATCAACGTAAATTTTTAGCTTACCTAAGCATTTGTTTTTGTTGCAGGGCACTGTGGTTCACTTACTGGCATTCACTGCGATTGCTTTGCGAGAGAGTGCAGGTAAATTGGTGGATAAGTAAGCTGTTAAGTCGCGCTGTCGCTGTTGATGTGCGCGGAATGTTTAAGCAGCCGAAAACTTAGGTCTCGACGTGCAGCGGAGGGCTTATTAGCGTGCATAGTGAGCTTTGTGCATATATTTATTTTTATTTTTTATTGATTAGGTTTTTTGCATATAACAAACCCACACATACATAATTAGCCCAAATAAGCGGATTAATTTCCCTTTTTGGAAAGTATTGCGTTTCGAAAAACTTACATAATTTTATAATACGAGTAGAAATTAAAGAAGCTTAAGTTATTTTTCGATTTTAACTTTTGGTTGTCAACAAAAGTAACTGCAACAAAATTGAAGAAAAAGTTTTTATTTAGAAATAATTTTATTTTATTTTAATTTTATTTTATTTTAATTATAATTTTTTTTTTATTTTTATAATTTTCAAATTAAATTTCAGTTTTTCACATACATTAATTTTGGTCTAAAGTAAGCAAGTGCAAAAAGAGCGAGCAAAATTTGTACCGTTAAATATTTCAGTCAAACTTGGTGCACAGATACACTGGCGCATTTAAACGATCGTAAGTCGGCACCGTCCAGATTGGAATACAATAATCTAGTGAATTATAAATAAAGCCTCTTATCAACCGATTTGGTCAGATGTGAGGTCTTGCGTCAAAAACCCAAAGGAGAACAACCCTTTTTTCGGTTTCTTTGATTTCGTTCTGCTAATTTTGATGTAAAGGATGCTCCACAATTGTGAATTGTCGATGAAATAATGGAGATCGTCAAGTCTGACGGCTAGGCGAGCACTGTGTCGATTGCTCTGAAGAGAATCACAGCGCAAAAATAAAAAGTTTGGAACTATATCAAGAAGGCTGAAAGCATAAGGAAGCTCTATGTATGGGTGCCACAAGAAATAACGAGAAAAACATTAAGAACCGAACTCCAACCTACGAATCACTGCTGAATCGTAACAAAATCCACCCATTTTCGAAGCGGATGGTGATTGGGGATGACAAGTGAATCACTTACGCAACGTCAAATGAAAACGTTATTTGTCGAAGAGCAGTGAGCCAGCACAAACAATATCCAAACCAGGATTGACGATCAAGTTGGCAAGAAATCATTAACTATGAGCTGCTCCACTCCGCCAAACTCTTAATTCTGACCTGTACTGTCAGCAATTGGAACGCTTGTACACGCCAAGTCTTGCTCAGAATTGTGTTTCATCAGCACAACGCCAGACAGCACACATCGATAGTGACTCGCCAGACGTTCCGAGAGCTTGGTTGGGATGACCTTTTGCTTCCCCCTTATAATCCGGATCTCACACCAAGTGATTACCATCTGTTTCTGTCTATGGCGAATGATGTGGCCGGTGAAGAATTGGCCTCAAGAAAAGCCCGTGAAAATCTATTGTCCCAAATTTTTACCATAGGGACAATGGTGTGGTAGTTCAAAAATTATGGATTCCTGTTTACCAGCCCTAACATATAGTCCTAAAATGAAACACAAAGCCTTCGGCATAGAAGAAGACAGTTCTTCTTTTTTGTTTTCATATACCTTTCAATCACTCATCTTCGTTCCGAGCATGCAAAAACTGATTCTACACGACTTAGTAGTCTAGGAAGAGAATGTTTACGCTTGGAGCGTAGATCCTTACGGCTAAAGTGCGTGTATTGTTTGCAATGGAAATGACCTGCTTTTGCAAACTGATAAGTTTTTTTTCAGCTGCGAAACCAGCTTTTATGAAAATGACAAATTTGCCTACAGCAAGCATAAGCAAACAGAGCTGAAGCACGATAAGTTTATTGTATTCTTTCCTAAAAGAAAAAATCGGTAACTAACCCATTAACCCCTGCAGGACCTTGAGTCCGGGCTAAAAGAAGTAGAGATAGACGTAGCTTCGCTGAAACCACTCCATCAGATTAGCTTTAAAGGTTCGCTGAAGTCAAATCGCAGCTTTTGATAATCAGAGGTGCAGCTGCGGTCGGGTATCGACCTTGAAGCCAGCAGCTCGTCATATAAACGTGTGCTAAATTTAAACTTATTCGCCCAGCGAGGTTGTGCGCTAGTCTTGGGACTCGCCATGTAGAAACCATCTCCAATGAAAAAGTGACAACAGCCTTTGATGAGAGATCTTTCTTTTGATGTTTAACAAAGTAAATGTTTTACGGTCCACGATTTAAGGGTATGCACCTAGAACTTCCGATCCCTTAGCTAGAAGGGTTATGCTGTCCTATTGGCCTTTGTCCTCGCAAGTCTACAGGTCAACATCACTGCCGTCCAAGCAGTGCGATGAATGGAATAAATGCGGAAGTAGGTGGGTCTTTGTGGCATTTACCACACCGAAAATTGGATGTCTGATTCGTAATGGGAGATGGCTGTACTTCCAATTGGCCCCACACTGCCAAAAGCAGAAATCGATGGCGCAATGTTATTAACTCGGCTATAATCGCATAGGCGGTGTTTACACCTACATCCATTTAAAAGCCGTACATTCGTCGACTTGGCGCTTGAATAACAAGCAGTGCTCGGCGATTCTTCGAACCAAAAGGCATTCTGTAGCAACAAGATACATTTCTCACTCGGGAGATACGTATATAAGCATTCGGAACACCAATAAACCTCAAATTGTTGAAGAGAGGCTATTACATCAAAGAAATAACAATTACTGGCTGCGGCGCTCTTAGATTCGGTGGTCAAAAGTTACCTCAAAGGGATCAAAGTTAGCAAAAATTTACCCAAAAAGCCATTCTACATTCAATTTATATATACATATATTTATATACGAGGTGTAACAATTAAGTAAGGAAACTGATTCCATAAATAACCGCATATCTCAAAATTATTCTACAACTCTGGCATCCCCTTCAGATTATTCCTTTTGGGCAGCTATACAACGATTCCAGCGCGTTTTCCATGCTTCGTAACATTTCTGGAACGCTTCGACTAGAATGCCCGCGAGTACCTTCGTCGTTCGGATGCCTTCAATCGACTCAAAATGAGTTCCTTTGACTACCGATTTCGTTCTGGGGAACAAAAAAGTCACAGGGGGACATATCGGGCGAATAAGGCGGCTGTTGCAACACGGCGATTCTTTTAGAGGCCAAATACTGCGACGCGCTTAAGGCACGGCGCGTTATGGTGACGAAGGATTCAGTTACGAGCGATGTCTGGGCGCATACTGTTGATTCGTTTTCGTAATCTTTCGAGTACCTGGCGATAGTAAACTTGATTGACGGTTTGCTCCGGTGGAAGACTGCTATCAAAAACGGCAATGAACATCCTTTTCACCTTCTGCTAGCTCATGCGAGCTTTTTTCGGGCGTGGGGCATGTGGAGACAACCATCGAAATACCTGGGCTCAACTGAGATCACTATCCTTTTATGATTTTAGCGCACGTTTCCGAAGCTGTTTCGTCCGATTTGACGTAAAATTTTATCGCGACGCGTTGCTCTTGATTTTGCTTTTCCATTTTCGTAACGAGCACCACGAACTCACGTTTACTCAACACGATACAGAAGGCGAACTAAACAAGCTGAAGCGATGGCAAATATTGTATATCAATGGAGAAGAGAAGGATACCGAGGAGAAGCATGCCGAGGAGAAGGAAACACCTCGTATATATTATTGACGAATGTTAACCGCCGAAGCGTTTATCGGCCGAGCTTCTCCTGCAATTTGTGAGTGCGCGTCTTGATGTTTTTCAGTCAAACTAAGGAAGCTTCAGTTTATAATAAGCGGCCTATGAACGGCTGATGGTTTTTTAATAGGAGCTTCATATACATTTACTTTCGAAACCGCAAAATAAGTAACCCTGTGTATCAAGGAGATGAGAATTTATTATCAATTAAATCAAGGGAAATTTATTTTTGCTTCAAAAGAAATTTTAAATCAACTTTTTGGAGAAAAATGTGTTGCAGGAATTTAACAACTCTTACTGGGACCAAACAGAGAATTTGAGAATTCGAATTGAAATCGAAAGGTAAATACACAGAGTTTTTGCGAAACTTCCATTTATAAAAATAACCACAAATATTCACTTTTCCCAAATACAAAACAAAAACAACAACAATTCAAGCGATTTGCATGTGGACGCGGAGGGTAAACATTTTTCCATTGTTTCATTTCTCTTTCAATTAACGAGCGGCTACTATTGCGCTTTTAACGGCGAGCCCGTGTTAATCGACTGTTATTACTGTTATTACTCTGCGCTGTGACCATTGCAGTTGACTTCGTGCATGCGCAATCGAAATATACGACGACAATTGGTGGATGACATGTATATTTGTATGTATGTACGTGTATGAATGCATGCAGGTCACGTGCCCATTTAAGCCAATAAATCGCATACACTCACAAAAACCAACAACAACAAAAACGCATTGCACAAGTCCACACGCTTCTTTCCGCACCGTCAATTCTACGCTACTTTTGTTGTTTTGACTTATGCTATTGTGTACTTTGTTGTTGTTTTCATTGTAATTTTTATTTGCTGTACGTGCAATGGTTTTCTGCCCAAAATCGCCTACATTTGGATTTCGGATTTGGCATTCAGTGGCCGTGGTCAGTTTGCTTGTGAACTTATGTCACACTCTCTGCCTGAAAATATTTTTTTAATAAACAAAAAAAAAAAAAAAAGCACAAAAACTAAAAACCAAAAGCTCTGCCGGGGGAAAAAACACAAAACAAAAAAAAAAAAATTGACAAAAGCATGTAGCAACCGAATCCGCCGCAATTGGCTTTAAGAGTACTGTTGTTTCGTTTTTCTTTGTTTATTTTTCTCTTTTGGCACATACACACACAAAGTGTAAGTACTCTGCGGAGAAAAATACTAGTTGCTAACTAGAATCCAACTAGTCTTAATTTTTTGCAC